AGAATAGAATAGAATAGAATAGAATAGAATAGAATAGAATAGAATAGAATAGAATAGAATAGAATAGAATAGAGGATAGGATAGGATAGGATAGGATCCAAGTGTGATTGGGCACACAAGGAATTTGTCTCCAGTGCATAAGCTCTCAGTGTACACACAAACAACAAAGTGATACATCATGTCATACAATACAATCTTAAATCATAAAATACAACAACAATTGACGAATCATAATATACCAATAGAAGAAGACAGTAGGAAAGATGGAGGCATGAAAGACGAGGATAATCGCAATACAGCCTACCCTACAAGATGGGTAAATACCTTTGAGCAGAAGACAGTGCTGCTTGAAAGAAATATCAGAATCTCTCCCCTCTCATTCCCTACCTAAAACTAAAACTGTTCTGGCTTTCTTGGATTCCCTGTTGATGGAAACCTATCTTCCATTATACAACAGGAGATCAGGCTACTTTTAAAAAACTGAATGTCTTCTTACCACCAGCTTCCAGTACCAGCAGTCTACAGCAACTATCACATTCTTCCTACAGGTACAGTAGATTTCTGTGTAGATCTTACTTAACTACTGCTGTGTGCCATGACCATTCAAGGTTAGTACTTTGCAACCAATCCTCACATGCATAACCATTGCAGTATCCCTCAGTCATGTGGTCACACATGGCACACTGTATTTTTCAACAAGGCCACATTTACAACTGTGTTATTTAATGACCAGACTGCCAGTCTCAATTGTGGTCACCAAGTGAAACTCCCTATACATAAGCTGGAGGCTGTCAGGATCTGGATGGGAGCGAACAAGCTTGCACTCAATCCAGACAAGACCGAGTGGCTATTTATGTTGCCTCCCAGGGATAGTCCAGACATTCCACCTCTCAGCCTGGGGGGTGAAATTATACACCCCTCAGAGAGGGTCCGCAACCTGGGTGTCCTCCTGGAGCCACAGCTGACGTTAGAACACCATCTGTCAGCTGTGACCAGGGGGGCCTTTGCCCAGGTCCGCCTGGTGTACCAGTTGCGGCCCAATCTGGACCNGTCAAATTACATTAAAATCTAACACGTCTCGTCAAACCTGTTATATATCCCTCCCCCCCCACCCTCCCCCACAACCCCCCACAACCGGTTGGGCACTCTTGATTGGAAAGATGGAAAGACAAGAAACCAAATATATTTTAACTATACTTCAGTTGAGTAGTCATAAGTAAAGAGCAAGATACATTTCTGGACAATCTTTCATCCCCATTTGAGAAAATATGACCAAGCTATTGAATGCATCCTTCTGCTGAATTAGGAAAACAGAGTATTTTAAGTACCATGGATGGAAAGCACTATTTTCTTGGAAGTTATGTCCTAATTAATAGCCTGGAATCATTTGTAGACTGGAAGTTGCAAGTTCAAAGCTTGTTTGTGATGTTTTGAAAAGTAACCTTTGAACTAACAGAGATAAGAAGAGAGATAGAAGAGAGACAGAGGAAGAGGAAGAGAAAAACTTACCATAAACTCTAATACTAACTTTAAAGAACCATTTCTGTTGCTCAGGCAAGTTTCCAGCTTTCCAATAAAGTCTGATCCCATAAGTGCCTGTATCACTTTGGTGGAGCTGGGAAATTTTCAAACTGCAGTTTTTGCGTCCTAAATCACCCACAAATGTCACTCGATTGCGAAACTCCGAACTGACTTCAGCTACTGTCTGGTTGCTATTATATAAGAGCGTTCCAGTGTAATCTCCTATGCCGTTATCAAATGAAGGATTAAAATACCAAGCAAAGGACACCTGGTGGATATGTCGACTTTCATGCTCCTCTTCGATTTTGCATGAAATGATTACACAAGATCCCTCCCAAGCCCTTAGCGTTTGGGGTATCACAGATAATGGATCACCTAGAGAACCTGAAAAGAGAATTAAATAATGATATTTGGTTAAGTTCCATCTCCTTACCTCTCAAAACAAAATGCACTGAGAGAGTCACAAGTCAGTAGTGTTTTCTTACTTCCACGGTGAAAACCCTCCATCCCATCTCAGATTTTACTCACGGTTTGGAAGAGGATAAAAAGTGAAACTATCACAAAGAAATGCAATGATCGAGCCATAGCTTGCTTCCTCCAAGGAGGTCTTTCCATTTCCATCCTTGTCAGTGCTCCTTCATCACAAAGTTGAAAAGAGTTTCCAAGAAGCTGTTGATAAGCTCAGAGGGAGTTGCACGATAAAGAAAAAAAATGCAACAGTCCCAAAGCACACCAATTTAGAACAATAAAAAATGGAACAGAACAGAACAGAACATAGGATGGGATGAGATGGGATGGGATGGGATGGTATGGGATAGAATAGAATAGAATAGAATAGAGGGTACATTAGGGTAGGGATAAAATAGAATAGAAAAGAATAGAAAAGAATAGAAAAGAATAGAAAAGAATAGAAAAGAATAGAAAAGAATAGAAAAGAATAGAAAAGAATAGAAAAGAATAGAAA